GGAAGCGCCCTCCTCTACCTCCTCCCATCTCCACTTCCTCTCCTCCTCCCTGCTCCTCTTCTCTTCCTCCTCCACTTCTCTCCCCCTCCTCCTCTTCCACCACCTTCTCCCACCTTCTCCCCCCTCCTTCTCCTCCACCTCCTCTCCTCCTCCTCCTCTACCTCCACGTCCTCTCTCCTCTCCTCCTCCTCCACCACCTTCTCCCTTCCTCCTCCACTACCTGGCCCTCCGCTACCTCCTCCATTCTCTACCTCCTCCCTCCTCACCTTCTTTCCCCTCCTTCTCTCCACCACGTTCTACCATGTTCTCCCCTCCTCCCTCTGGCCTGTCCTCCTCCTCGTCCACCTCCCTCTCTCCCTCTCTCATTCTTCTCCTCCTCTTCCTCCACGGCGTCTCCCCCTCCATCTGCCTCCTTCCCACTTCCCCCCTCCTCCCCACCTTCTTTCCCCACGTTCTCTCCCTCCCCTCTCCACCTCCTTTCCTCTTACCTTCCTCGCCCGTCCCCTTCTCCTCCCTCCTCCTCCTTCTCTCTCACCTTCCCCCTCCTCCTCTTGACACCTTTCCCACGTTCTCCCCTCCTCCTCCATCCACCTCCTCTCCTCTCCCTCCACTTCTCCCGTTCTCCCCCCTCCTCCTGCACATCCTCTCCTCCTCCCTCTCCTCCTCTTCTCACTCCTCTCTCCTCCTCTCCTATCTCACTCTCTCCTATCTAATACTATCATATATAATATATATAATATATATATATATATAGAGAGAGAGAGAGATAAGATAGATAGATAGATAGATAATAGATAGATAGATAGATATATAGATAGATAGATAGATAGATAGATAGATAGATAGATAGATAGATAGATAGATGATAGATAGATAGATAGATAATAGATAGATAGATAGATAGATAGATAGATAGATAGATAGATAGAATAGAATAGATTAGATAGATTAGGATCTGAGATAGATAGATAGATAGATAGATAGATAGATAGATAGATAGATAGATAGATAGATAGATAGATATCCCATTATGACAGAAACCCTATATTTTGAAGAAGTCGTACTAATTGAAAGCGTATGAGAAATACACATATCGTGTGTATATTATATACAACAATTAGGATACTGCAAATGGCGTTCTAGTGATTTCATGACATATATAAACTAAACCCGTTTTTCTAGGAAAATATTTGAAGTTCTTAAGAAGAACCGAGATGCTCACGTGAGTAATTTTGATGAGGATAATATCAGAGACTTTACGGATGCTTATCAACATGAAATACAACTAGAACAAAAGAAGTCACATGAGACAACGTTTACCGGTAGGCATGTATAAGAGTCATTTAGGAAAGTTTTGTCATTGTATTTTTATTAGATCATTTGATGATTATTATCAATTACACCCAAAACGCAGCAGCTTTTACCTTGATATACTTACACCAAAAAAGAATTATGCTTATTCCATAGACAAGTATTATCTTATCTTGTACATATATAATATAGTAAAAATAGTTTTTGCTATTGTGACATACAACTTCATTAAATTAATTGTGACTCGCGGCTATGGCTGTTTTAGTTTATTACATTCGTTCTCTGGTGCACTCTGTGCACATGGCAATTGCGATCTTAGTTAATCCGTATCGGAAATGTCATATTTTTGACCAAAGAACTTGAAAATGCCCCCCCCCCGTTTCACCGCATAAAGGAAAAGCAGCACAGCAGCTACTGTATTTCAGTCACGAGCCCTTGGTGCCATGCTAACTCCGCAGCAGACAGCAAAGCCCAGTATCGAAATGAAATGACAGCAGTAGCCGCCTTACCACATCATTTCAATCGTCATACAACCTCAGCCCTCACGCTCTCCGTAGTTTATACGTGCATATAATTACCCTGCACACATCACTACTGTAGCAGTGATATATTTGTTTTTTATTATTATTTCAATCCTATCAAAGAGAAAAACGTTAAATGTCAGATGCACTGCTATGATTAAGGATGTATAAAATTTATGAGAGTTATTTGGGTGTTAAATGTTATGAGAGTTAATTGGGTGGTAGACACGTCTCTTCTAAATACTCATAATTTTATTTCAGACATGGAACTTCTGTTTGTTATTTGGGATCTGTTTATGGCTGGAACCGAAACGACGTCAACAACCATGCGTTGGGCGATGCTGTTTATGCTGAAACACCCAAAAATATGCAGAAAGGTGCAAGTTGAGATAGATGACGTCATCGGTGGAGGAAGACTGCCAGCGATGGCTGACGCAAATATGATGCCCTTTACAGAGGCAACCATCATGGAAATTCAACGTTTAGGTGAGTCCGTTAGGTATGATTGCGGACACCAGGCGAAACGAAGCAGCATTAACCATACGCCTGCTTAACGTATGCTAACATGTAGAATTTCTTACCAATGTGTAGACGTGAACTACGTTTGTCGCCTGCTCTGAAACACAGGCGCCTCGTTGCCCCCGCCTCCACATTTCTAAGCTACGATATTGGATCGTCTTTATTTATAGGTAATATCGCACCACTCGCAGTTCCCCATGCTACGTCTGAGCAAGTCGAATTCAGAGGTTACACAATACCAGCGAACACTACTGTCATGTCAAATATCACCGCTATCATGATGGATCCTACCTACTTCCCAAATCCGGAAAGGTTTTGTCCTGAGAGATTCCTGGACGAGAATGGAAGGGTCATTAAGAACGAAGCCTTTATTCCATTCTCCGTCGGTAAGTGAAGCAATTTTCGTTCGGTATTAAATATAGCATTCTTTAGCATAACACTGATTTTACTGATAATTTTTCGTACATATATGGATTCCGTCCAATTGTGTTACGCGACAAGTTAACAATTCATAAATAGTGTCCTAATTTTACCTACTGCTCCTGCCACGAAGATGTATGTTAATGGCAATGTGTGGTTAATACAGGACGGCGAGTGTGTTTGGGGGAATCTCTGGCCAAAATGGAACTGTTCCTGTTCTTCACAAGCATCCTGCAGAACTTCGACGTTAAGCTACCAGATGGCGTGATGGAGCCATCATTTGAAGGCATTTTCGGAGCCACATGGATGCCTAAACCACATAAGATTTGTATCTGTGCACGAGAATGACGAATTTAGATGGAAAAGTGAAATAATGTTGTTATAATGATGTCATAACATCCCCACGTAAAATATATAAGACGCAATATTCATCAGAATGGTTTTTATACCCGATTATGTGCTTCCAAATCAAAGTGAGGTAAAGCAAATGATTATAACACAAACATTATTTGCAAATGCACGAAGTCTTCAATTATCAGCAAAAATATTACAAGATCATAACCGCGTTAGTAAATCTCCCACACACGTTTTCCGCCTAACAACGGATAGATGTGCGGATAGCCAAGGCTAATAAATTCTAACTAATTCTAAAAATTCTAAAAATATTAAACTCGGATTTGTTTTGGAGTTTTGGTCGATGAGATTCGCTAAGCTACAATATCCGTATTTTTAGAGACCCTGCCCGATAACATATTAAAATATCGATGCCCACCTGTTGCTAGATCGACGGAACAATATACTTAATTGTGTTAGCAACATTGATAACAAATGTACGAAAAATAGCAGTATATCAGCTGTAAATTATTTTAATGGGAAAATGTTTATAGAGATTGTTTTATTGCTCGTAGATGGCACAACATTCACGAAAAACTCTATGACGTTATACAACGATTAAATGGGCAGGAACAGGCATTTCCAGCTGCTGCAAGTACTTTTAAATTGTCATACATAAAACAATTTTTTAATGCAATTAATTAAACATTATAATCATAAATACAATGATGTTACTTCCAGATCACTTAATTTCCCTGCACCTATTAACTCCTAGTTGCACGTCACTTCCTGGCATAGCGACCATGAGTCTCCACTACCCACCATTCCTGAAGCATTATCACAACACATACATACACACACGCGCGCGCACACGCACGCACGCACG